AACAAAGAAAAGCTCCCCCACCGATCCTTATCCAAGCATGCAGCCTAGCAGGCCAAGAAAGGAAAGGGGAGCGCAAGCCATAAAAGGCCACATCTCCTCTATGTGGGGGACCTCCTTGACAAAGCACTGGGTGGTTGTGGGAGATTGCTTATTGGAATCTGGAAGCCCCTTTAAGAAGAGGGCCCCAGATTTGGCTCATCCCTTATGTAAATAAGTATGGGGTACATACCGCTGCTCATTCACCAAAAGTAAGTAAATACACAAGACTGTTAACATGTCCCCCCAGTGTAAAGCCATAGTCAATCATGATAGAACGCCTGCCGCCAACCCCCTTATGTGAGGGGGGGGGGGAGTCCACTGTATACGACCACTCCATCACTTGAAACATGCCAAAAGACATCGCCACTTGCCCCCACCACTAAGTAAACAAAAGGGCAGGACTACCTGGTGATGTCAATGGAAGCACCTGGAGGCCGGCCCCATGGTGTCACAGGAGGCAGGGTAACCTAGTGGCATCAATGGGTGGCTCCATTTCCTATGATGACATGTGCCACCCCAAGACCCTGACCTATAACATTAGGGGGCAAGGGTCTCAGGAGCCACCCGGGGTGATCATAGAGGGGTCTCCGAGTGACAACATGGGGGCGGGGGTCACCCAGGGACATCAGTGTGCTCGCCCCTTTGTTTACTTAGTGGCAGAGGGGAAGCAGCGCCATCACAATTTTGCAACGTTGACATGTGTTAGTAAATCCGTACATATCATCACAACTACTTTGTACATACGGGTGGATTATACCGCGTTTTTTTCAGGACAAATTGGGCTTTCATGTGGTGGTAAATGGTAATGGATAGCTTCTGATATTTTTTATTATCAAAGGAAAACTGGCCCAAAGTAGTAAAAAAAAAAATGTTTTTAATTCAGCTGTGTTTCTTGTTACTACCATAACCTACCATCAAAGAGCAACCCAAAATACATTTTCCAGCTCTTGACGATCGCAGCAATACCATGTATGTGTATGTTATTTGTTGTTTGTACCTGTAGTACAGCCCAGAAACAATAGTGCGCATTTTATTTTGTTTTATTTTTACTTAAAACACACTGACACTTAACTGACACTGATACCAGATTTAAAAAAAAAATCTTGACCTTTGACCCTGACCTTGACCCAAACACTTACCCTGGCACTGAACTAGATAAAACCTTGATCTAGATATTTTTTTTACATTTTTTTTAAATATTTGTTTATTTGTATTTTTCTTTTTTACAAACATCTTTTTTTCTCTATGCCAGGAGTTAGAGAGATGCAATGTATCTCTCTCCTCCATTCATAGAAAGACAAAAAAAACAAGGGGGCCAGGCTGTAGAGTGACTGATCACTGTGATGGCCAATCAGGCTATCACAGCGATCATGTGACCCGGAATCGGGAGTCCCGGGTCCCAATCGTTAGAACGGGACCCAGGGCTCTCAATGACACCACTGACTTTGTGCTGGGAGCGTGCTGTGCGGCACGGTCCCAGCAGAAAGACAGGTATGCAAATATGCGGCCCCACGGAAAAAAGCCCAGTTCTGTGAAGCCGCATATTTGTGTTATGTCGGCTTCAAGGGGTTAAAGAACTCTGCGATAGGAGGGGGAAAAACCCCCCAAAACACCCCATTAGTATACCACCCTACAATAAACAGTTAATACATTTGTGAAATTCCTTACCATTGAAGAGTAAAGTAATTTAATTTTCAGAAAGTCATCACTGTAATTCAAAAAACATCTGCTCTGCCAAGGAGGAAGTGTAACAGCAGTGATTACATCATATCCTCTCCTCTCAGGAAATTGTACTTCCCTTCAACCTTTGGGAATTGCATTGCATGTGGGCAGGTACATGTTGAATGTGTACTCCACTTCAACAGAAAACACGCCCACACATTTCCCAGCTGACACTGCTATCCTCACATGTGATCACTCACCCTCCAGTCACAACAGACTAGGAACTGCCCTGACATTGTTTTTAATCTCTTCTTCCATCCTATGCTCCCTCACTCACATCTTCAATCTGTCCCTCTCTACTGGTGCCTCCCCCTCTAAAGCATGCGCACATCACTCCCATACCTAAAAAGCCCTCCCTGGACCCCACCAACCTCAACAACTTAAGACCCATCTCCCTGCTGCCATTTACCTCTAAACTCCTAGAACACTTAGTCTACAATCTCCTGTGCTCCCACCTCACTGACAACAACCTTCTCGACCCTCTACAGTCTGGCTCACTACACTCCACTGAAACTGCCCAACTAAAACTCACTAATGATCTACTAACTGCTAAAACCAATGGTTACTACTCCATACTACTCTTACTACTTGACCTCTCTGCGGCTTTTGATACGGTTGACCATCCCCTCCTCCTCAAAAAACTCCACTCTCTTGGCCTCCAAGACTCTGCTCTCTCCTGGTTCTCCTCCTACCTATCGCAGCGCTCCTTCAGCGTTACCTATAACGCTGCCTCCTCCTCTTCACTCCCTCTTTTCTGTAGGGGTCCCTCAAGGTTCTGTCCTTGGACCCCTTCTCTTCTCCATCTACACCTCCTCCCTTGGTCACTTGATAAACTCCCATGACTTTATGTACCATCTCTATGCTGATAACAAACAAGAGATCCCTGTGCTCAAATCCCAACAGCTAGTGCATGCATTTATCCAGCAGGTGCTAAAGGGGTGTAACCACATATTAACACTAGAAATTCGGAAGGACCCTCTGCACACTGGTATATACCCTTTCAAGCAGACTATGCAATAAATAGGGATATTTAGTTCACACATAATGCAATACAGGTACAGGTTCAGGTCTGGCTACTGACCCAACAATACAACAAACAAGAGATCCCTGTGCTCAAATCCCAACAGCTAGTGCATGCATTTATCCATCAGGTGCTAAAGGGGTGAACCTTGTAGCTCTCCCCATTGTGTCTTTTCCCCTATGCTAGCATTGTGTCCACAGTAGCATTTGCGTAGGCAGGGCAGAGTAGGACTGGCCATAGAGGGATTACTTTGACGCAGTTGGCCAGCTTAAGCATGTATTGCAATATGTGTGAACTAAATATCCCTATTTATTGCATAGTCTGCTTGAAAGGGTATATACCAGTGTGCAGAGGGTCCTTCCGAATTTCTAATCTCTATGCTGATGACACACAAATCTATTTTTCTACCCCTCACCTCACCCATTCAGTCTCCTCTTGCATTACTAACCTACTAAGTGACATATCGGCATGGATATCACTCCACTTCCTCAAACTCAATCTTTCCAAAACTGAGCTCTTAGTATTCCCCCCAGCCCGTGCCCCCTCCCCTGACTTCTCCATTAAGATCAATAACACAACAATCATCAGTCCCTCCCCGCATGCCAGGGTACTAGGTGTAATCCTAGACTCCCATCTGTCCTTTCAGCCCCAAATCCAATCGCTGTCCAAATCTTGTAGACTTCACCTCCGCAACATCTCCAAGATACGCCCATTCCTAACCTCGGAAACCACTAAGCAACTTATCCACTCCCTTGTTATATCTCGCCTTGACTATTGTAACTCCCTCCTCATTGGCCTACCTAATCGCAGGCTATTCCCTCTTCAGTCTATCATGAATGCTGCTGCCAGACTCATCCACCTTGCTAACCGTTCTGTATCTGCCACCCCTCCACTGGCTTCCCATTGCCAAACAGATAAAATTCAAAACATTAACAATAAAGCCATTTATAACTCTGCCCCAAATTACATCACCGATTTTGTCTCTAAATATCACCCAAACCGTACTCTCCGCTCTTCGTAAGACCTTCTACTCTCTAGCTCCCTTGTCTCCTCCTCCCATGCTTGTCTCCAGGACTTCTCTAGAGCTTCCCCCATCCTCTGGAACTCTCTTCCCCAATTTATCAGACTATCGCCTACTCTGCTCACTTTTAGGCGATCTCTGAAAACCTATCTCTTCAGGGAAGCCTATCCTGCCCTCCGCTAATAACGGAATCTTCCACTCTTCCAACCAGTCCACCCCCCACAGTTACTACCTTTTGTACCACTAGCCCCTCCCTCCTAGATTGTAAGCTCCAAGGAGCAGGGCCCTCCTATCCCTCTTGTATTGAACTGTATTGTTGCTGTATTGTCTCCCATTATATTGTAAATCGCTGAGCAAACTGTTGGCGCTATATAAATCCTGTATAATAATAATAATAGTCCCAGAATAAATATGGTGACATGCCCATAATTAGGATTGTTTATCCACTGTTATCTGCTGGAATTAAATTTTAGCATTCTTCTAACAGTCCCAGCTGCTTGTATGCTTCCTTTGTGATCACATCCCCGACCACAACACAACATAAACCAAGCACCAGGACATAAGGCTCCATTCACACTAAGTAGTTTCAAATCACGGGCGGAAGCACCGCGATTCTGCCCACAATTTGAAAACGTGTGAACACTTTGTGCCCTAATTGCGGCATGTTTTTCTGCAAGCGCATTTACCTGGGATTTTGCCATAATTTTAACATGTTTAGGGTGTTTTCAATGCATTTCAGGCCTGGTTCCCACCAATGCAATTTGCGTTTGTCTGTGTCTTTTGCAGTGCTTCTTTTTTTCCCCCTTTATTGTGGCCAACTTGTTGCTGGGCAGATTAAAAATGAAAACCGCTTCAAAAGCATAGTGTGTATTTTTCAAGCATTGGTGTGAACCAGGCCTGAAATGCAGTTTGTGTTTTGTGCATTTTGCATTTTTAATCTGCCCAGCAACAAGATGGACAAAAGGAAAACTAAAACACGCATCAAAAAACATGCATGCATGCAAAAAAAAAAAAATGGACAAAAAACAAACTGCATTGTTGTGAACCAGGCCTGAAATGCATTGAAAGCGCAGCAAAACTCTTCAAAAAAACACATTACATTTTGCATTTTTAATCTGCCCAGCAACCAGTTGGCCCCCCCAAGAAAAAAAAAAATCACAAAACACATCAAAAAAGCACTGCAAAATAGACAAACCACAAACTGTGACAACTGACAGCTCGTGAGGAGAGGAGAGCCGGTAATCTGCATTCCTCAGAGGGGACATGTGTCTGATCATCAGGGCACTGATGATCAGTTTGCCCTGATGATCAGTGCAGCCCCAGCAGTGCCACCTGTCAGTGTTCATCAGTGCCAGCTCTCAGTGCTCATCCATGCCACCTGCCAGTGCCCATCAGTGCCACATCAATGCCACGTATCAGTGCCTACCAGTGCACATCAATGCCACATATCAGTGCCCATCTGAGCTGCCTTTCGGTGTCACCCATCAGTGCCAGTCAGTGTCAGCTATCAATGTCAATCAGTGCCACCTATCAGTGTGCATCAGTGCCGCCTATCAGTGCCCATCACTGCTGCCTATCAGTGCCTCCTAACAGTGCCAGTCAGTGCCATATATGAGTGCTGCCTTTCAGTGCCCATCAGTGATGCCTGCCAATGCCCATCAGTGCCACCTATCAGTGTCCATCAGTGCAGCCTATCAGTGCCCATCACTACAGTCTCATTAGCGCATATCAGTGAAGGAGAAAAATCACTTATTTACAAAATTTTATAACAAGAACTAAGAAAAAACTTTTTTTTTTTTCTAAATTTTCAGTGGTTTTTGGTTTGTTTAAGAAAAAATAAAAAACCCAGAGGTGATTAAATACCACCAAAATAAAGCTCTATCTGTCACGAAATTTTAAAAAAAAATTTCATATGGGTACAGTGTTGCATGACCGCGCAATTGTCATTCAAGGTGTGACAGTGCTGAAAGCTGGAAATTGGCCTGGGCAGGAAGGGGGTATAAGTGCCCTGTAGGTGAGTGGTTAAAGAACACATAGTAAATAAAATGTTAAATTGTGTCAGCAAAGAGTATAGATCTATTTCATAAAGTATCCCAATAAAGCATAGGGCAACTGGGATAAAGTGGACGGCGGCCACAAGGGGGTATACATCTATGTCAGAGTGTCCCAGTAAAGCAAAAAGCAACTGGGATAAGGTGAAAAAACTTAACATACCTGGTCATAGCAGAATGGCAGTCACAGGAAAGGTCTGAGAGCGGACACACAACTAACAGATGCATCACATTGTGATCTGGGATCCCCAGACATGTGAAGCATAAGCATCAACTAAGGTTTGGTACACCAAACCAGTAACCATTTCTATTTTTTGAAAATATTAGGATAGGTAATAATAAAACAAAGATGCAGTGGACTAAATCCACAGAACTGGTATCATAGAGCTGACCTTTGTAGAGCGCATAGTAAACAAAATGTTAAATTGTGTCAGAAAAGAGTATATGTCTATATCACAAAGTATCCCAATAAAACATGTCAACTGAGATAGAGTGAATGGTGTCCACAAAAAGTATACATCTGTGTCACAGGGTATCCCAGTAAAGCAAAAAGCAACTGGGGTAAGGTGAAACAAACCTAACAAAATACCTGGGCATGGCAGTATGACACTCACAACAGAGGTATACTCAGCAAGGAAATCATAGAATAAATGGGTAAGTAGTGAGTATTATATAGGTAGGGGGAAGGAGGATATCCTCTAATCTGGGCAGTGATGTTTCTGGGAGCAGACACACAACTATCAGGTGCATAACATTGCATCATGTGATCTGGGATCCCCAGACATGGCGTCACGCGTCGCCACGCCTCCGGCGTGCGCAGGATGGCAATCACGCCGAAAATTGACAGATGTGGGCAAAGGGGACAAATCCATCGCCCGGAAACCAGGCGGAAAGAATCCTCCGCCAAATCAGATGACCCAGATGGTCCCCCCTGGGGGCCGGGAGAACCCACGACACAGAAAGGGACCCGCGTGCACTACAGCTGTCAAATGCCTGTTTTACAGCCATTGGACGTGTGTAAGTTTTTTTCTTTATTGCCCCTAAATGCCTCTCCATGCTAGCCTGTATGTCCATGCACACGCAGGCATTTGTAGCTATTTAGAGGCAGGGGTGCTTAGAGGCTGAAGTCTGAACACATCAAAATAATGTTTAGGATATAGTGGCAAAATAATGTTTAGATATAGTGGTAAAACACAGCTGACCAAAAATTCTTTTAGTCACAAACCCAATCTTTTACTGCATTCATCCAGTTATGTTGCTTGAAATTCTTTAAGAGTGGTTATGTTGATTTAGTTCAATATAAACATTTAGTCAGATGTGCCACACATTTCTTATAGCATCTGCAGTATAAAACGGATTGATCCAAACCCACCCTTCAAGAAACATTTTTTTTCTTAAGAACATGCCATTTTTTTTACATATTAACTGGCAGAAAGAAAGGCAGAAGATACAGTATTGAACTTCTATACTCTAGGTTTTATACCTTCTACCAGATCCTAAATAAACCTTGCATTTTGGCCCAGAAGCAGCTAATGGAGCAGAAATTCTTATACACCCCCTCCCCCTTTTTTTTTTTTTTTTCCTTCAGTTTTTATTTTTAGGACACCACATAATTCTATATCTTTGTGGACTTGGATTGGCAACATGTAAAAGGTGCAACGTGGAAATGTTTTAAGAGTTTCTAACGGTGAATGTGGCTTCGTTTAGGAAAGTCCATTCACTGCAAAACTGAATCTTAAAAGCAAAGGTGTGTTTGTTTGACGTTTTTTACCTTCATGCATAGAAAAAAAAGAATGTAGCTCCCCCCTGAGCCTGATCCCGATCCTGCTGTTTGCATGAGAGCAGCAGCTTCCCCAGTCTCATTGGCTGAGACACAGGTCATTGCTGTCAATGGCAGCCAGTGAGGATGGAGTGGTCGGTAGAAGGAGGGGCCTGGAGCATCGTGGGGCAGACAAGAGGAGGATCAGGACTGCTCTGTGCTAGACCATTGCACAGAACAGGTAAGTAATTGTGTTTTGTTATTTTTAAAAAATCGTAACCTTTACAATCAGTTATTTTGAAGGACATTTGTTATGTTATATTGCCAGATCTAGATCACTTTTTTCAGCATATTTACATGAGTCATTCTGACCAGCCGATCTCCCAAACCTCCGTGGACGATTGTTTCTCTAATTTTCTTATAGTGTGAACTGTGACAAACACGGTGCCCGACCCCCACCCGTCTCTTCAACTCCTGACAAAGAACTGGCCAATTTCACACTGTTCTGTCTTGTGCGTAACAATGCCACTCTCAGCTGCACCCTGCACAAAGATTTTCCAGTTCGTGGGACCACAGTCTAGGTACCAGCAGCCTGAGAGTGATTGTCACTGGGTTAAGTTAGTTAAGCAATTAACTCTTGTGACAGACCCAACTGGGACAGGGGCCTTTTGGAGGGGACTGCAGGCTATCCTCTTGCCTACTGACCATGGCCCTGGCATCTGAGGGGGCTCTATTCTTTAATGTGTGCCTGGGGGGACCTTTGGAGTAGTTTACTTGGAATTCAAGTCCATGTCTCCCCAAAACACACACTCTGAGAACTGGAAGACCGGCATACAGATTTGTGGTCTCTGTGCCCAAACTAGCGTTGACTGCTACAACCCCCTCCTTCCTAAATTCAGAGACTCTAAGAAGATTTTGATGTAATTAGCAAAACGACTCTTGTTCTAATGTGTTTATTAACCACTCCCTGTCTGGCCCATGTACATAAATGGCCAGACGGGAGCTGTGCCAAAGCGGGTTGCCTGGGAGCGCACGGCACCTGGATCAGGTGCCCACTGTGACACAACGGAACACCGATCACTGTACGGGACCTCTGTGTGAGGTCCTGATCATGTGATCACTGATTGGCCAATCAGTAATCGCATTAATAGTAGAAAGCAAGATGTCACTTCCTGACATCATTGCTTACTACTTGTGAAATCTGCGAATGATCACAAAGGTCACATGGTACAAGGCTATTCACAACAGCCTTGTACCATGTGACAAGCTGTGACCAATCACAGGTCTCACAGTATTTCTCAATTGTTGCAAGAATTCAGCCAGAGAGAAGGAGAAATGATTGCTTTTACAGCCTTTATGGGTGTAAAAGCAATCTGTGTAAAAAAAGAAAAAAAAAATCTTCATCACCCCCCACTATGGTGACACTGTACTGCTAGGGTGAAAGTATGTTAAAAAAAAAAAAAAGAATCAAAAACGTAAATAATCATATAAAAATTAAAATAAAAATGTAAAAAAAATTTTTTTATAAATTATAATTTTTGGTTGTAAACTAATTTGGGTTATTTTTTTTTTGCTGAAAAGATAGCTGAATACATTTTGATCAAGATTTATGAAGAAAGATTATTTATTTGCAAAATTTTATAAGATAAGCCCTTTTTTTTCAAAATTTTTGGACTTTTCAATTTATATAGCAAAAAAATTTAAAAAATAATTGGTGAATAAATACCACCAAAATAAAGTTTATTTTATCTGTCTCAAAAAAATGCTAAAAAATTAATAAGTGTACAGTGTTGCATGACCGCGCAATTGTCAAAGTGTGATAGCACTGAAAGCTGAAAATTGGCCTGGACAGGAAGGGGGTGAAAGTGTCTGGACTTGAAGTGGTTAAGGTGTTATATGTTTACTATCTTCTCCCATTGTGTGTCTCCTAGGTGTGCATTCTTATTGTTAATTGAGTCAGCTATTGTGGGTCTGTTGGCAAGTCCTCTTGGAGGCTCCTACATGATGACATTAGACTGTTGTCGACTTCACCTCGTTAACTAATCAGTGTGGGATGTGATATTTGTTTTATTGTTCATGTGGGGGCACTGCCCCTATTTCTGGAGTGTATATAAACTGTATTTCTGTTCAATAAAGTACAGGTAGTTCCAGTTTGCATCAAGCTAGTGTTCCCTTGTCTTGGGTGCAATGCCCAGCTATAATACTTTGGTCCTGTGTCCCAGTGACAAGAAAGTGGTTCTCTGACAGAAGGCAGCAGCTAAGTGCTAGACGTTCTGTCACCACCCACCCTTTTGACAGAGAAGGCGGAAACTCGCAATCTTAGCAAGAACAAATATGAAAAATAAATGTCTGTACACACACTGTCACCACAGGCAGGTACTGTGCCTTGTAAAAGTATTCATACCGCTTGAAATTTTCCACATTTTGTCATGTTACAACTAAAAACGTAAATGTATTTTATTGGGATTTTATGTGATAGACAAAAACAAAGTGACACGTAATTGTGAAGTGGAAGCAAAATGATTAGTTTTTAAAATTTTTTACAAATAAATATCTGAAAAGTGTGGCATGCATTTGTGTTCAGCCCCGTTTTACTCTGATATCCCTAACTAAAATCTAATGGAACCAATTGCCTTCAGAAATCACCTACAGGGGTGTGGGATTTGTTTTTAAAAAGCTACTTGTCCAAGAGACTTAATCAAGGTTCCAGTCTACTTGTCCCTCATGACAATCTACTTGTCCTGATGATAAAAAAAAAAAATCATAGAATGGAAAATACAAAGGGTTGATGTTTTTTTTTCTAGGCAGAGGTGCTTTTA